TTGACCCTCCACTTTTCCAAGCATGACATCCTCCTCCAGAGAATGGTCCCTTCTGACAACATGACCATAGTGAGATGGAGTCTGGCCATCGTCGCTTCCAAGGAGCACTCTGGCTGCACTTCCTCCAGGACAGATTTGTTAGTTCTTTTAACAGTCCATGATACTTCCAGCATTCTTAGCCAACACCACAATTCAAAAGCATCAACTCTTCTTTGGGTTTCCTTATTCATTGTCCAGCTCTCACATGCATAGGAGGTGACTGAAAATACCATGGCTTGGGTTAGGTGCATCTTAGTCTTCAAGGAGATATCTTTGCTCTTCAGCACTTGAAAGAGGTCTTTTGCAGCAGATTTGCCCAATGCAATATGTCTTTTGATGTCTCCCGTAGAGATACCACCTCAGAAATCCAAGGAGGGGTCACTATGAGTTGGAACTGACTAGACAGCAGTGAGTTTGGTATTTTTTAGTTTGGAATATGAAAATTGAAAACAAAGAAGAAGGATCAGTTGTTGGAAAATACAGCCTTGGTGATAGAAATGACACTGGAGATTGCATGATAGAATTTTCCAAGATCAACTACTTATTCATTGCAAATATCTTTTGTTTTTTCAACAACATAAATGGCAACTATACATGTAGACTCCTCCAGATGGAATGCACGGGAATAAAATTTACTGCATCTGTGGAAAGAGACAACAGGGAGGCTGCCCTTTGAAATCTTCTGTGAAGATCTTTTACTTCATTATTTCTTCTATTGCTTTAGCTACTCTTTGTTGAAGAACAAGTTTCAGAGTTTCTTCTGATACTCACTTTGGTCTTTGCTTTCTTTCCTGTCTTTTTAAATGAACTTTTCTTCGTGTATAATGTCATCCCACAATTTTTCTGGCCTCAGTCATTGATGTTCATGCTTCAAATCTGTTCTTCAAATGGTCTCTAAATTCAGGTGGTATTGACCCAAGGTCATACTTTGGTTCTCACGGACTTGTTTTAATTTTCTTCAGCTTCAAGTTGAACTTGCTTATGAGCAGTTGATGGTCTGTTCCACAATCAGCCCCTGGCCTTGTCCAGATCTTGGGTGGTGAGGAAAGATTTCCCCCATGAAAACTTCCAGACAAAGCCTCTGTACTTACCTATAGTTGGGCCTGAAAGATCACATATAGAGTTTCTGTCTGTAGCTGAACTTCTCACTCTTGTACTATTGTCTTCACTGTGGGATCATTTAACTTCGCTTGTACATCTCTGGTAGCATAGTGCCTAAGGCACTTAACTGCTAACCAGAAAGTTCGTGGTTCAAACCCACCAGCCACTCCTTGGAAGGAAGGTTGAGCAATCTACTTCCATAGTGATACCACCTTGGAAATCCAAGGAGGGGTCGCTATGAGTCAGGTCTGACTCGATGGCACATAACAATAACAACATAGTGAAGATATGCTGGTGGTAAACTCGGTTTTTGTTTTTCTGAAAATATCCTGATTTTGCCCTTGGTCTTGAAAGATATTTTTGCTCAGCAAAGAGTTTTCAGGTTGTTAAACTGTTGTCTCTTAACATGTTGAACATATCATTCCACTGTCTTCTGGCATGCATTATTGCTATTATTAAGCTAGAAGTCCAATTATTGCTCCTTTTAAGTTAATCCATCTCACATCTCTTGCTTCAAAGATCTCCTCTTTGCCTTTTGTGGTCTGTAGCTCCAAACCAAACCCACTGCCATCTAGTCAATTCCAACTCATAGTGACCCTATGGGGCAAAGTGGAATTGCCTCATCGGATTTCCAAGATTGTAAATCTTTACATAAGCAGACTGCCTCATCTTTCTCTTCCAGGACAGTTGAATTCAATGTTTTAACCATTATTCCACCAGTGTGGATTGATTTTCATTCATTGTTTGAGATTCACTGGGTGTCTTGATTCTGTGGACTGGCATATTCATTACTGCTGGAAATTTTTCATTTATTTTTTCTTCAGAGACTTATTTGTCTCCGTCTTCTTTTTTCTGTAATCCTGATTAGATATATGTTAGACTATATATATCTATGCTTATTATTTCTTAACCTGTCATTAATTTTACAACTCTTTGTCTTTCTGTGCTAAATTCTCATTCATTTCTTCATTATTGCCTTTCAGTTTATGAATTCTCTCTCATCTGAAGTTCATGAATTCTCATCTGCAGTTAAACCAGTTGCCTAATTTAAATATTTAATTTATTATGGTTTATACTTCTAGAAGTTTTATGTGGTTCTTTTTACAACATGCTTGGCCATTTTTTCTAGTCTCTGCTCTTATAGATCCCTTCTTATACGTCCTTAAACATAATTAACAGCTTGAAAAATTCTTAATCTGAAAATTCCAATATCAGACAACATTGTGGATTTAATACTGCTCTTCACGTTTTAAGTTTGCTCTTGCTCAAAACACTCTGTTCCCTGTTTTCTTGTTTGTTGCTTATTTGGTTTAGTGATGTTTGTTTGTTTTGTTTTACTTTCGACTGAGAGTTCGTATTTTTCGTAGCTTTATCTGTGGGAATTTCTTTGGAGCCTGTGATGGAGGCCTTCTCCAGAGAATATTCACTTTTGCTTCAGCCAGCTGCCTGGGAACAGTATACATTTGGGACCTAATTAAGCTAAATTCTCATATTGAAGATTTTTTTTTTCAAGCTATCAAGGTAAAGTAAATTTGAGCTGAAATCATCCATGAGGGCTGGCTGGTGGTTATGAATTCTCAGACAAGACTTTCACCTCCACTCAGAAGTTATTCATAAAAGCAATTTTCGTTGTATTTCTCAGAGTTATTTCCAGTTTATCATTGTAAGGAGGTGTAGCTCTGAGGGGCCCTGATTTCACTTGTGTTCTCTACTGTCCCTGTCTTTGGAAGGTCTTTGGCTTTGTTTAGTCCCCTGAGCCCTGCAATGCTCTGTACCATATTTTTATGCAAATAAACACGTAGTTTTATGTTTCTTTTACATCCTATAAAGAAAAAAAAAATGGCAGAGTGTACTTAAGAAAATACCTCACAGGGGTGCTTGTGAGGGGGTAGGTCATGGTTGGCAAACAAGCGTGGAACACATGTTATTTGTGTAAAAACAATGGAATTTAAGTCCACCAAATCATGTAGATGGCCTTAAAGAGAATACTGACTTAATGCTCTGCATCTCTCTTGATTTATGCCTCTTAGTTTTTTTTTTCTAACTACTCTTTACTTTTTAACCAGTTCATTCTTATATTTAGGAGTGTTTCTGTAATGTTATTCATAATTTCAACCAATTTCTGAAATCTGAAACTGATAAAATATCACTGAGAGGGTGAGTCAGTATACTGATCTGCTCTCTTGGCAGAAACAAAAGTCCCTGCTGTATTGTTTAATCATGTTAATTACTATCACTAATAAAATGGAGCTCCGGTAGAGTAGTGCCTAAAGGCACTTGACTGTTAACCAGAAGGCTGGCGGTTCAAACCCACAAGCCACTCCTCGGAAGGAAGATGGGGCAATCTACTTCCATAGTGATACTACCTTGGAAACCCAAGGAGGGGTCGTTAGGAGTCGGGTCTGACTCAATGGCACATAACAACAACAACAACAATAAAATGGATACTTTACGTTCTTCTGTGAACCCAATTACATATATATTAGACCATTTGATATTGTGTTATAACTCTTGGATGTTCCATTCTGGCTTGTTGGGGGTTTTTGTTTTTGACTCTTAGTGTTTCAGCTTGAAAAATTTTTATTGACCTATCTTCAAGTTCACTGATTTCCTCTTTAGCCTTGTCCAGTCTCCTGATGAACTCAAAAAAGAAATTTTCATTGCTGACATTATATATATATATACATATATATATTTAGTATTTGCATCTGATTCTATTTTATAGCTTCCATCTCACTCTTTTTTAGATGTCCCAGTTTTGAAGTCTCTTCTCCAGCCACTCTTCATGACCAGTTCTTCCCTGTATGGAACAGTAGGGGCCACATGAAAGGCATTGTTTTGCTGTTTATAGCGTTGATGCTGAATTCTATGCCATGAGCTGAGGGGTATGCCCCTCTCTGTTCTTTTCTCAGATTCTTTTGACTTCTGCTTTTTGACTCTTCCAGTCCCATCTCACCTCAACACTTGCCTTTGTCATCCAACTTATGACTTTGGCTTCTTCATTATGACTCTGGTTCCTCCTGAACCATAATGAATCCACATTATCTCAAGTTGCTCTAGCCAAATACCCCTTCTTAGCTTATCTGTCCCTGGTGTCCTCTACTTCGGGGCCACTCTCCTTGGATGAAGATCAGTGTTTTTCTCTGTAATCCTGTGAAAGTTATTCAGTCTGTCTGTGCCTCATCCTTGTTATCAGCAAAATGTGAATAATCCCCAAACTCATGGAGATATTGTGTGAAATATCTGAAATATAAATGTAAAATGGCACTATCATTTATCTAATGACAGACCCTAGTATTCACCTTTAATGTGACAATTGGATCACATACACTTAATTTTTCCCCAACTGGTAAATTTTTTTCCCATGAATTAAAAAAATCTGTGTTTTATTTAACAAATGGAAGCAATATAAACATGTACAAATTAGAAAGCCAAATTTTTACGTACATTCAATTCAGATCATAGTTCAATTGCATGACTCCTTTACTCCTTCAATATATAATGTTTAACACAAACACTGATGTCATTGTATTTGATTGTATTTGATTTAATAAACAAGCACATAAAAATCAGAGACCTTCCAAAGATTTATTCAGTGCTTACTTCCAAACTAGAAAGATTATTTTTACAGGTGGTATAAAGAAATGCTGTGATTTGCTGATTCTACGTGGCAGGAATCATTTCTTATTCTAGAACAGACAACTCAGAAAATATCTAGAAAGATGATAATAGAAAGTTTAAGAGTGGGTTATGCTTTGAAGACAAATCAAATTAGATTGTTAGGTGAAGATGGGCTTTCTGAACCTGCAGACCCAGGACTCTTGGCTGGAAAGAAAGAACATGCCTTTTTCTTGTTCTTGCTAGGACCTGGGCAACATTTCTTCCAGGTCCGCAACAACATACGAGACAACAGCCCAAAGAGCAGCGGCAACATTCATCTGCTGCGGATCCATGACAGTCATGGTGTCTCCACGCGAGTGATGGAAGGAGAAATATTTATATAGATCACCAAGTAGACTGGCACCTGGGAAGAAAAGGAGAAGGATTCTTAGTGCTTTGATAGACACTGCAGCATTTCTGCTCAGAAGCCACTGACATCCTTCCCCAGTTTAATCTTGCTCACTCCTACTTTACAGGCTAACATTACAAAATAATTACCTTTTTAGTCCCCTTGCAGCAAGAAGTGGCCATGTGACACCATCTAAATACTAGGATATGGGTGGTGGGCTGTAGGAGCATTCTAGGAAAGCCTTTAGTTCCCTGACAAAAGGGTTGAGAAGATGCTCCTAGTGCTGCATTAAAGATAGAGAAGTTTAGAGCTGTGTGGGGCAAAAAGCCCATACACTACAGAGGCCAGAGAGGAAAGAGAAAAGGAGGCTGGATTTAGAAATATTGCCAATCCACTGAACCAGCTCTGCACTGCCTGCTTCTGTTATGCTAAGGAGGAAATACAAATGTTTATTTAAGTAACTAATACAAGTATCTTCATCTTTATTCACAAGACTATAAATTATATATCTTCTTGGACATAAAAGAAAGTCAATACTCCTTTGCTAAAGTGTCCTCAACTCACTCATTGACTTTGCACAGCCATGGAATCCATCAGTAACTTCCAAGGGTACCAAGGGGAGTTTCTGCCCCACTTAAAAGCTTTCTTCCTACACAAGAGTGAAGCTTTCAGTAGTTTCAGCCATGAATCAGAGTCTCAGGTAATTTTCTCTGTCTCTTATTCATTCTTCAGAACCTCCAAAGCCCTCATTTGGATTCCAGTTGCAGTTCTTTGGCCTTTGGCTGGCCTGCCTGCCTTTCCCCTTTCCTCCCTTCCTGTTTTATTATGAAATATACTATGTACACAAAAGATTGTAGGAAATATAAATATATATGATAAAGGGTGATGATATAAAAAATTACACATATATCCACAATTCAATGCAAGAAAGATACTACCAGTATTTAAGGACCATGTTATGTGAGCCTGCATCCTGTAGTCCCTTTATTCCCTCCAGAGGTATCCATTAGCCTATATTGTCCTGCTTGTGTGTTAATCACTCATTACTCTTCTTTAAAGCTTTACCACATATATGTATATACCACATATATATGATTTATGTTTAATCTTACCTGTTTTGAATTATATACTCTGGACATATTTCTGCAACCTGTCTTTTTGGCTGAACCATATGTGAGATTTGCTTATGTTATTGTGTACAACTTTAATAGTTTCATTTTTTATTGCTGTACATTATCTCATTTTATTTATTGATCCATTATCCTGACAATGGACATTTAAGTTGTTTACAATGTTTTGTTATATGCTTCTATCAATGACCTCTTTAAGGTTTTAAAATGCATTGGATAATGGAACAGAAAGACAAAGGAAGAATTGATGTGTTCAAACCGTGGTGTTGGTAAAGAATCCAAAATATACTGTGGTCTACCAAAGACATGAACAAATCAGTCTTAAAAGCAATACAACGAAAATGCTTCTTAGATGCAAGGATGGTGAGAATTTGACTCACTTACTTTGGACATGTCAACAGGAAAGACCAATTCTGAGATAAGGACATCATGTTTGGTAAAATGGAAGGTCAATGGAAATTAGGAAAACCCTCAATGAGATGGTTTGACAAACAGTTTCAACAACTGACTCAAACCTACTGATAATCATGAAAATGGCACAGGACTGAGCAATGTTTTGTTCCATTATACACAAGGTCACCATGAGTCAGAGGCGAGTCAAGGATAACCAACAGCAATGAACACTCTCGAGTGGAATTGCTTGGCTACAGAGAAGGTGTGTGTTTAATTTAACTTTACCATGTTTGCCATTGTTTCCAAATTTTTCAGTTGACACTCCCACCATATATGAACCTTTCTGTTGTTTCACATCTTATACTTCTCTTGGTATTGTCAATTAATGTTCGGTAATCTGGTGGGTATAAAATATTATCTCAGTATGGTTTTAATTTTTTTAATTTTATTTTTGGTGAAACTATACATAGCAAAACCTGTTCCCATACCACAGTTTCTAGACATAATAATCACTGACATTGGTTTCATTCTTCACATTGTGTCAACATTCTTGTTATTTCTGTTACAGTTGTTTCACTTCCATTTACTGAAACTCCCGGCCCACCAGCCTTCTCATCTATGCTTTAAAATAACTGTGGTTCTGTTCTTACATAGATTTTGTTTTTTTAAAGAGTGCAATATTCAAGGATGACAATCTTCACTCTGAGCTAAACTGCTACTTACTTTAAAAACCACCTCATGGGTAATTTTAATTCAAGGTTTGAAGAGCAACTCAGGGCCATAGTCTCAAGGATTCCTCCAAACTCAATAGGTCTAGTAAGTCTGGATTCTTTAAAAATTTGAAATTCTGCTCCACATTTTCCTCCCTTTTTTGTCAGGATTCATCTACTGTGTCTCTGATCAGAATGGTCAAAAGTGGTAGTCAGGCATTTTCTAGTTCTTCTGGCCTCAGGATGGAGGAGGCAGTGGTTCATGGAGACAATCAGTTCTGTAGTCTAGTTTCTTCTCTGATTCTTGGGTTTTCTTCTTTCTCTTTTGTTCCAGAGGAATAGAGACCCATAGTTGTATCTCAGATGGCTGCTCATAAATTTTAGTTAGGACCCCAGACACTACTCGTCATTCTGGGAGGTAGAATGTCAATGGTAAGAACTATATTATGCCTGTTGACTGTACTGCTCCACAAGACCATAGCTTTCAAACCAAGAGAACTAAGCCCACGAGGTGACTGCTTATGTCTAATTAGTATCAGGGGAGCTCTGGTAGCATAGTGCCTAAGGCACTTGACTGCTAACCAGAAGGCTGGCAATTCAAATCCACCAGCCACTCCTCGGAAGGAAGATGGGGCAATCTACTTCTGTAGTGATACTGCCTTGGAAACCCAAGGAGAGGTCACTATGAGTTGGATCCGACTTGGCGGCACATAACAACAACAACAACAATTAGTATCAGTATGTGTAGTCCTCCCCTCTATGTTTTTGTTGTTGTTATTGTTGTAAAACCATACACAACCTAGCATTTGCCCATTCATTCTTTTTCTTATGTATCAATTATTGACATTAATTACATTAGTTATGCTGTGCAAACTTCACCCATGTGAGGCCACCTTTCTCGTTACTATAAACAGAAACTAACTTACCTAAGGAGTACTCCCCCAACCCCCACCTCTCTACCTTTCTGACCTATAGTAACCACTAATGAATATTTTAAAAAATAAAATAAAATACCTCACTGGTGTTGAGTTGATCCCGACTCATAGCGACCCCTCCTTGCGTTTCCGAGGCAGTATCTCTATGGAAGTAGATTGCCCAATGTTCCTTCCAAGGAGTGGCTGGTGGGTTTGAACCACCAGCCTTCTGGTTAGCAGTCAAATGCCTTAGACACTATACCACTATTTATGTCATTTCATAAAAGTGAGAAAATACAATATTTGCCTTTTTATGTTGACTTTTTTCTCTTCTAAAATTATTAATGAGATTGAGTATGTTTAATATATATATATATTTCCTTGAAATGGCTATTCATGTTTTTTTGCCCAATTTTTGCCTAGTTTATCTTTTTCTTACTTATCTGTAGGAGTTCCTGATACATTTTAGTTACTAATAATGTTTTAGTAATAAGTTTGTATATATAATTTCCCAGTGTGTGGCCCATCCATTTACTCTCTTTATCATGTTTTTTGATGAACAGACATTGGTAACTTTCGTGTAGTCAGATTTATGAATTTTTTTCCTTTATGATTTGACTTTAAATATTTTGTTTAAGAAATTCTTCCCTACTCTAATATAAAGATATTTTCTAATGTTTTAGTCTAATATTTTCTAAGTTTTGCTTTTAAATTTTAAGTACTTCATCTATTTTTGATTGAAATAGATTTTGGTATCGGTTGTGAGGAAGTCTTCTTTATTTTTTTTTTCAGTTGTTCCAGAAAATGTATTGACTAGTACATCCTCTTTCTCCATGGATTCACACTATCAATTTAGTCATTTATCAAGTTTTGTTATCTGTATGGGTTTGTTTAGGGGCTTTCCAATTCTCTTTCAGTGGTCGAATTGTCTGTCCCTGTAGAAATATCACACAAAAACAATTACTATAATTTTCTCAGCCATGATATCTGGCAGAGCAAGCTCTGTCACCCTCCCTTCCTCTTTCTCCTTAGCAATATTTCATGATTCTGGACCATTTGTTCTACCATGTACATTTTAGAGTCATTAAAAATTCTATATATAATCTTCTTGAAACATGATTGGAATTATGTTAATCTACATAGTAGTTTGAGGAGAACATCTTTATACTATTAGGATATTTTGTTATATCCATGAAAATGGTGTGTTTCTATTTATTTAAGTCTCCTTCAATGTTTTAAAATTAAGTTTTGTAATAAAGTTTTGCATATCTTTTGTTAGTTTTCTTTTCTGGATGGTTTATATTTTCTTT